CCAATCCAGGCCATTCTGGGATTCTGTGAACGAGGATCAGAGCATCAGTTGTAGGAGGTAGAGGGAAGAGCCTGCAACGCCTGTTAAAGAGAGCGCTCAGCACAACCTTGGTGGAAATAACTCCTGTTAAGGGCTGACAGGTTGGGAAAAGCTGCACCAGCCCCAGAACATTTCCCTGAGCTCGTCCCCTTCCACATGGGGGGAAGCATCTGCTCCCCTCTGCGCTGCTTCAGCGCCAAAGCCAGAGCCACGAATCCATCCAGCTGCTCCCCAGCCCAGCGAAGCCCCTCCGGAGCGGTGAGGAGGAGAGCGTGGAGGGTGGCAGCTTTGCCAAATTGCCCTGGGGAAGCTGGAGAGCTGGTAGATGAACATCAGATGCAAACAGAGGCTGCAAGCCCAGATAGCAGGCTGCCCCGTTATCTTTATTTTAGCACCTTGGCTGGCAGCAGGTGAGGAATGATCCCAAACTGACACAAGAGCAGATGCTGCGACAAGAGAAATACGTTTTCCTGCTTAAACGAGCAGAGAGACACTGAGGAGTCAATGGCCTGGGAAGACTCAGCATTTCCCTCCCCTCGCTTCTCCCTGAGATCCTCCTCAAAGGAGGGTGCAGAGAGGGGGGAGTCGGTCTCTTCTCCCAGGTAACAAGCGATAGAACGAGAGGAAATGGCCTCAAGTTGCACCAGGGGAGGTTTAGATTGGATCTGAGGAAAAATGTATTCACCCAAAGGGTGGTCAGGTATTGGAACAGGCTGGCCAGGGCAGGGGTGGAGTCACCTTCCCTGGTGGGATTTAACAGACAGGCAGACGAGGTGCTGAGGGACATGGTTTAGAGGTGGAATTGGCAGTGTTGGGTTTATGGTTGGACTCGATCTTAAAGGTCTTTTCCAACCACTACGATTCTGTGATTCTATGGTGACAATCATTATCCTCCTTCTATGAGGAGGATTGGAGAATGGCTTCCCCACACTTGCCACAGTCCAGAGCCCTCTCTGGAAAAGCAGGACCTCAACTTAAGAAAAAAATATCCTAGCAAGAACTTTTACAAGAATCACATTAATTCTCCTCAGTAATTAATGGCAACCTGCCTACACTGCCAGCACGATCCCTCCACCACGCAGGGATTTCCAGCTGCCCATGGCCTCATCCCAGCGATGCTGAAGCATCACCAGCTCTGCTTCACCTCGCCAGTCCAAGCCGAGACAGCGACAGCAGCCACAGCCTCACGGGAGCCCTCCCTCTCGCCGGGCTCCTTGCTTTGGGCTCCCTGAACTCACCCCTCCGAATCTCTCCCAAGTCAGAAGCAGAGGGACAGAGGTCAGAAGCTACAGCAGCTCCCCTCACACGCACGCCGATCCCTCGCGTTGCTGTGATTACACCGCGTCAGCACATCTCGCTCACACAGAGGAGGGAGCTGGAAGGACCGTGGTTCGCCAGAAACAACAGGGTTTAGGACTAGTTTTGCTTTTCAGCACAGAACACAACCTTATGGCAGAGACAGGGGTACACCTTTCCGCTCCCCGTGACCCAGCAGCACCTTCCAGCCACCTCCTCTGCTCACGCCATCCTCCCACAAGCGCATTCTTTGCAAGAGCTGGCTTGTGTGGGGACAGAGCCTTTGCAGAGATAAACAGACCTTAGTGCAGGCAAAGGACATCTGCCAAATCGAGGAGATCAGAGGACCATGCAGGCCTTTTTACAAGCCAATTTTTAGCTGCAGAGAGGCCGATGGACAGCGTTAGGAAAAAGCTCTGACCCCATCGGCGCAATCGGGAACTCAACCTCTTTGCAAATTCTTTTTATGTTTGAGGAGAGGTTGCAAAAAGAAACCCACATGGATGTGCAGAGCCTGCAAGAGCTCTGCTTTCTGAATCCTCATCTACAAAACTCCAGCCTCATCGTGATGCACACACAGAAAGGCAGGAGCATTTCCAGCCTGCACGCACTCCCATGTTTTCTCAAGCAACCACTGCTCCACCTACGCTCTCCAAGAACACTGAGGATTGATAGATCCCATCTCCAACTCAGAAGCAAGCTGGGTGCAGCAGGTTTTACAGGTATAGAAGAAAGCAGCGCTGGGATTCCTCCCAGTCCCTCATACTACCCAGTCCTCTCCTACCAAAAGAGCTTTAAAAAGAATAATAAAAACCCCCCAGAGTGCTAACACCCAGCTAGCAGCAAGCACTGGGCTTGCTACAGAAAAGCAGGGGTGAAATCCACCGTGCACAGAGCTGCCCAGGACATCGGCAAACACCGCTGGGGTCAGCGGGAGAACCCGCTGGCTTCTGACACGCTGTGGATCAAGTCATCCAAATACAGCAGAACCACCAAGCAGCTGTGAGCTTGTCCTACACATACCTGAAGAGTCCCTAATTCAAAGGAAGCTTCCAAACGGGCATGTTTAGGGTCAGATTTTGGGCAAACCTTCAGCAGTGTTTCCATTTCTTAAGTATTTAAAGTGTCAAGAAGGTTTCCTGCCACAAGAGGGAAGGAAATCCAGCCAGGTGGGGAGTTTGCACGACATCCCTGCAAGAGATAAGCATGAGGGACAAGACAGATTAATTACAAGTAACTAGGGGAACTCAATCAGCTTAAATGTGGCAATCAAGGAAGATACATGGAGTGCAGGGAGACAGATGGTTGTGCGCATTTATTTTTCTTTGATAAAAATGGTATGCAAATTACACAGCCATGGAGGCTTTGGGGAAAATATCACCCTGCTGGTCCTCGGGGAGCTTCTTGGAGAATCGTAACATTCAAACACACCAAAATGGAGGGAGGGAGGGAGGGAGGGAGGGGAATGGAGGATGGATCTAAACTGAGAAGAACGTGAACTTCAACATTTTCCAGTGAAGCGAAAAAGATCGTTAACTTATTTTTCAAATTTTTTTTTTTTTTTTTTTTTTTAATACTTTCAAGAATGAGCCTACTGAGCACAAGAGTCAACAAACCCCTGACACCACTGCGCAAGAATTAAAACTGCTTGGGCAGAAACACACCTTTCAAACACGTTCTTCTGCACGGCACTTTCAACTCAAGTTCAAGAACAGCAAGTCTTATCCCCAAAGGCATCTTAGGCTCCTTTACACCATCTCAAGAGTGTAAAGAGGCCACACTTCAAATGTAGTTTTCATGCACATTAACCCTCTACCAGGAGATCGGAGGCACCTGTGTGCAAGGGACACAGGTTCTGTTCATCCAATGGAACATTAAGACAAATAACATCAGAAATTTCCAGGTAATCTCAATTTTTTTTTCTTTTGATCCATTCCCAATAAGATGCTGAGAGAAATAACCAAAAAACCCAAACTTGGCTCAAGTTTTAAATATTTGCCTGAAAGGAGGGCTAGGGGAGGGAATCATGTACAGTTAAAATCAAGCTACTCAAAACACAATCATTCAGGTAAGTAACTAGAAGTATCGCCTCTACCATCTAGAGAGAGAGAGAGAAGAGTGTCTGAGACAGAGGGCATATTTAGGAAAAAATACACATCTGAAGTCTCTGTGGCCACGATGAGAACTGGAATCCACATACAAGCCAGTTAAAAGAGCATTTCAACATGAAATCTTAACTTAGTAGGAAGGTCAGGGGTTAAGCTGTATCTTTTTTTTTGTTTTAAATACATGGACAGCTGTCAGATATGAAAATGATGGTGGGCTTTCCTGAAAGATCCCCCTGTGCATGTGTATGGATGCATGTGCTGACATCTGTGGGGCAGCAGGACAAGAGTTTAGGAAGGCTGGGAGCCCAGCAGTCTCTCAATAGCTGCATTGATGTCTCCACCAGTGGCAATAAGCGCCTGGAGGTTGGCCTCACGATTAATGAAGCCCATGGCGTTCAGCTGCTCCAGCTGCTGTTGGAATCGCACTTCAGGACTCTGCGCCTACAGAGGGAAAGGACAAAGACCTTAGAGTCAGACAGCAGTGATCAATATCCAACACAGGCAGGGCCAGCAACGACAGCTGAGCACGGACCTTGAGCTCAGCTTTAGGTGCACTGAAATACTCCAGGCTCGTTCAGTGACATTACCCACCTCCCCACATTGCCATGGGCTTGGGCTCAGTAGCCACAAGTTCTGAACCTACAGTGACAGCAGCACTGGGAGGAGGATCCCTGGCACTCTTAGCTTCAAACCTCTGCAAAGGGTCACTGCACCTCGAAAAACTAGCCAGTCTGAGACACCAAACATGGCATAAAGCACCACAGCCAAGAGAAACCTCTTAGGAACCACATCCCTAGAGTGGGGGGAGATTTGGACAACCTCTAGCTCACCCTGGAGATGTCCCTCCCCGTATCAGCGTGCAGCTGGGCATTACATACTTGAGAGCTTCCTCCGGCCAGCAGCTGGATCATCTGCTGCATGAGCTGCTGTTGGGGGTTACCACCCCCAGCTGGAGAGGCACTGGCCGGCGTCGAAGCGGAGGGAACGGGGTTCTCCGGGATTGTGCTTCCTCCTGTGGAGGACGGGGGCATTCGAGGCATGCCGAAGGAGCCGAGGCTGCAGAGGAAGGCAGGGTGCACTCAGAGGCAAGTTGGCACTTCTGGGTGTCCCCCGAGAGCTGGGGAGCACGGTGACCAGCAGGCTCTGCCAGGCTGTCCCTCGCTGAGGCTCACGCTACTTTAATTTGTAAATCAAACCATCTGCGTTTTTATTCTGGTCACACACAGAGCTGGGAGCAGGAAATCCCACCAGAGGCA